GACATTTCCAAGAGTTGTGTACATCTGATACCCATATGCTGGCAAACACAAGTGGCTCCCTGGCATTTAAGTCTTATGAGAGGTCTGTTGTAGAGAGCCTTCTCTTTCTAGTTTAGAAGTATTATACAGCTGCAGTCTTTCTGATTACCAACCAGAAAGCACTTTGTTTATAAAAACAAACCACTTGAAGCTGTTTTCTAGAGCCATGGCTTTTTACCAGAGGGAAGTTCTGTAGATCAGCAAATGTGACATTCTCAGGAGCATTCACTCCCAGTGGTGCCTTTCAGAGGCTGTCTAGAAGAAAGGTGGCTCTTTGAGTGTGGGTCACAAACAGTTACCTCAGAGTTACACCTTTGCCTGTTCCCTCCAGTTCCATAGAGCTTTGCTTCTGTTAGGCATGGTGGGAGGGACAGAGGCAATTAGACTGACATTCTGTTTCAAAGAGTAGTGGATGTCTGTGTGCTGTAACAACTGTATCCTCAGCAAGAAGAGGACAGGACACATGATGGGGGTGTGTCTGTGCAGGAGCAGTGTTTAATTCCAGTTGCTTCTGAGCAAAGTTTCTTCTACTCCACGGTTGTAGACTGCTTTGCTGACCTTATGTCCAGAAGTGAAGTAATTTACCTGGGAGATTTTGGTCTGTCCTTAAATAAAAAAGGAAGTGAGCATGAGTGGACTTGTGGTCAGAAGAGGAATCCTCCAGATGTGAAATCTGTGGCTCCAGCGCAGGCTGGAGTTAAAGTTGTCAATGCTGCAGAATGTATTCTTATTCCTGTAGTGCCCACACAACTAGGAGCATCAAAACTATATCATCAGAACTGCTGGATGTATTTGAGCTTGAGGCTCTTTAATACTGGTGACTATGCAGAGCCAGACAGGCTATTTTCACGTTCGGGCCCTAGAGCGATAGTTGCTTTGGGGTCACTGATGATGCTAGGCCCATGTTTACTGCTTCACATAGTTATTTCTTACAGCTGGCTGGTATCTGAAAGCTTTCCTGTGTTTGCTTAAAAGAGGTGGGGCAGTAATTCTTACGGATTTAAGGGGAACAGTCATTCAGTGTGCTATGATCTGCTCTTTAATATGGTCTCTGTCCCCAGCACCATTCTGGGCTATGCTCCTGAAAGCTCCTCTTCCCTCTACTTTAAGCAAAAGAGAATACTTGCTGACTGGGGCAAAAATCTGTGGAAAGGAAGCTGCTAGTGTATCCTGCAAAACATCCTTCTGTCCACTAGGTGAGGAGGTAGTAGAGGAGTAGTGCCTGTGACTTGTGTCGCATTGGGAATGGCTGATACTTGTTCCTGTAACACCTGCTTAGCAGGTGGGAGCAGCCCTGTTGCCTATCGCTCCTTGCTGCTACTGCACGTCGCAGAAGCACGTGCACTAGCAGGACCAACCACTGTTTTTTTTGTTCTGCATATAATTCTGGATCACTTGTCTTTTTTTCTAGAGCCACCTGTGTACTGCAGGAAGAAAAGAGATTAATTTAGTAGTAGAGTGCTGCTGTTACTATTGCATTGAGTTTTAGGAAGAGGAATGAAATCTTTATATGCTGGGGGTCATCCGTGGAAGAAAAAGGGAGTGGGAAGGAGAGAGGATTTCTCATACTGCTTAAATGCAAAAGCCAGCCATAATCCATGAATTTACTAACTTTTTTTTTTCCAGTGCCATAAACTGCAGGCTTAACAGATTTAAAAAGGAAAAGTGTCAAATGAGTGGGGAGTTTTGGAGAACTTGTGATGAGGATGGGGAAGACACCTACAGTTCTTAAACTTACCACTGGTGTTCCCAGAGACTGGAATGTTCCAGCTGCTTTCTGGACTTGTGGTCAGATGAAAACATTTCGTGTGAGAGGTCCAAGCTGTTGTCCAAGTTGTACACAGCAAAGGACCCCCTGCTACAGGGTCCTCATGCAGCACCGTATTGCATCTGTGCATATCTGTGTTGTCCAGCAAGTGGACCTGTGAAGGGAACATGTTGCAAATTTACTGTGAGGTTGAAGGCGCTCTGAGTGCGAAGGAGAGCAGTGTGTTAAGGGCGTTCGATGCTGTCGCTTGCTTGTTAAGCGGTGTTGGGAGATGTTTCGTGTAGTTCTCACTGGAGATGTAAGACCCAATCACAGGTGGAAAGAGGTGATGAGTTTGAATTAAAAATCCTTTGGGGCAGCTCTTGTAGGCCCCAACAGAACTGAGGCCTCAAACTGGAGTGTCTTGTAATGTCTTCTAGTGCCCCTGAGGCATGGCCGTGTGTTAGCACGTGCCAAGTGAGACTTCCAGTAGAGCACGGGGGGAAGCTTAGTGTTGTGCTGGTGTATTTCCAAATAGTGCCTCCAGGCATGATCCATATGCTTTCCTGTCTTCAACATACCAGACCTCTAGCATTCCCTAGGTATTTAACTGCAGTATGTCCAGAGTCTCTTTTCAGTTGTAGGCCGAGGTGCCAGGAGACTGAGTCTCACTTGGTATTAACTCTGCCATTAAATGATGCAGTCAGGTATGTAAGTATGGGTTCTGCTGCCAACATCCATGCCCAAGAGAAGCTGCTGGGATGTAGAGAAAGGTAGTAGTCTGCTGAAGGGGGTGCTAAGGGACTCTAGAGCGCTCACAGAAAGAACAGAATTTCCAGCTGCTTAGCCTCAGTCAGCTGTAATCTCCTGCTTGGTCAGAGGTGTCTTGTCTCCCTTGCCCAGTCTGGTTCTCAACTAGAAACACTAATGTTCCTTATGTAAATTTATTTTAAAAAGGTGGCTGGAGGCAGGGCCAGATTCTCAGTCTTGTCTGTGTTTTGCCATGATTCTGACCTAGCTGTCTCTATCAATGTTAAGTGCTTGCTGTTTCATCAACTCATTGACTTCTATCTTGTTTTACTTCCCGCTTACGGGCTGCTCTGTTACCAACAGTCTTTCATAGGATATTTGCTAATGGTGAGCAAACTTCTCCGCTCCTGTGATGTGACTACCACTACATATGTAATGTACATTATTTTATTTGTGTGTGTGTGTGTATATATATATTTATATATATGCGTGTGTGTATTATATATGTAACACACACAAACATACACACTCTCTAATTTATTTATACAGTGTTCCCTTGCTATAAGGCTGGTATGTAAAACTCTGCTTAGGTGCATCTCACATTGAGACCTTGTGTTCTGTGCTGGGATGCAGACAGTTGCTTGTGCTCTCAGCCAAAGCCTTACAGAGAGGGAGCACTGCCTTTTGTGAAGTCTCCTTGTTGTTAGTTCTCTTCCTCTCCTTGTTCTTAGAGCGTGCTAGTCCATGGACCCTAGTGCATGCTGGCTCCTGCATGTCAAGCCAAGCGGATGCATTGTTCTGAGCTCTTCCCAGCTGAACTTTCCACATACATTAGGCTCTTTCCTGCTACTGCTCTGCTAGAATTGGCTGGGCATCAAACCTGGAGTAGCCTTTGCTTTGTGCTTGGCTATCCAATTGCTTGCTTGTAGTTTTAACTCCTTAGATGTTTTGTTTAAGGTGAATGTTTCAGTGAATGTGTCTGGCCAGAGAGATATCCCACCCAAAATAAGTCCCTGTCTTTGAAGTAAGGTTTACTATTTATGGTTCCCCAGACAAAGCTCTGTTTTGGGGGAAACTTGTGTATATGGGCTGCTGGGGGCTAGAGTAGGATTGAGCTGCAATTTGTAACCCTATTAAATACAATGCTGCATTTACATTTAAAATAATAATTTATTTTATTTTTTGCTGTCAGGCTTGCTCTCGATGGTTAGAGTTTGTTTCTGCTGAGTTGGGAACCTACCACTGCCTGCTGGAAGTGGTGGAAAGGGAAGGGCCTGTCCAAATGGGCTCTGTGCCGTCTTGGTGTTTGCAGGATGTGGCATGCTGCTCTGCATTGCTAGCAGAGTAGAGGCTCAAAAAGCTAAATCTGCGATCTTACGTAGCTGAGGGGGAAGCTGATGTAGTCAGGGCTGGCGGCATTAAGAGGGCAGACTTCCTTGGAGATGACTTGTTTCCCAGGGTGCTGCGAGCTGGGCAAGTCAGGCTGTGGCAGTCGTGCGACAGGTTGCGGGGTGGAAGAGGCGAGGTGGCACACCAGCAGCAGACAGGCTGATCCAGAACAAGCCCACGGAGTGCGAATGTGACTGAGCCTGGGCTTCAGCATGGGTTCAATCACACTGGTGGCAACAAGGCTTAATTACCAAGCCGTTTCTCAGAAATCAAGTCACTGCTGCGAGCAGAACAAAAAGCCCTCGTTCTACCAAGGCAAGAAAAGGGCCTCAGCCAGCTTAAGATGATGCTGTGGTATCTCACTTGTGCTGAAACAGCATCAAATGGCCTTTATACTGAGATTTCTTGACTGGTTTCTTGAGAACTTAACAGTACTGTTGTATCACTATGTACTGTTCATACGAGAGCTGGAGATTGTTTAATCCTTAGATGTTGAACAGTGATTTGGGTTTGAAAACGCTAAATATAGGGTATAAGGCTGCTGCTTCGCTTGAGCATTGAGCTAATAAGGTTGTGAGCGACATGCTTTCATAACTAATCTTATTTTAGTCATTACTTCACTCTCTTGGGTTTTGTTACCTGATGTTTAAAGACTTGTCATGCTGTTTTTCACATCTTAAGAGACACCTGGGACAGTAGGTGATACAGAAATAAAATAGGGGTTACTAGGATATCTTGGATTAGCTTTTTTTTTAACTAAGGCAGGTGTGGTTTAGAGGAAAAAATAATGGAGAGTTGAAATCAGCAGATGCAGAAAAAGCTGTCATAAGAATGGAAAACTTTTTCACCCATGTTGGCATTCATTTAGGAATTAACATCAATTTATGTGCTTTAACTTCTAGCCATACAGTTTTATGTGTAGAGTCAAGCATGTCCTCTACCAAGCCAAACAATTTCGGTTGCTTAGAAACTTGGCAAAACTAAGACAGACTTTCACAAGCAGAGGAAAAGGTTTGTCTCTGACTAGAGGTGCTGCTGGGAGTGGGATCTGGCAGATTAATAGTTTTGAGTAGAACTTTTTTTTTCCCCAGAATGCTTCAGAAAGTCCAAAGTGGTATGCAGGTTACTCCTTTTTTAAAGGCTTTGTCTCGCCTTTGGTCTGTGGTGTCTTTCAGACTCCAGTGGTGTAAAAGCCTGTCATAAAGTGAAGATTCTTCACATTTGGATTGTCCTTGAGAAACTCTGTTAAACAAACTGGGTGGAATAGCATGCAGTTAATTTCTAGTTGTAATAAATTGACGGGCATCTCATGATCTAGCTGCTGTTATGTTACTAGAGTGGCAAAAATAGTTACCAGAGACCTGCCTTGATTTTGTGTATAAGCATACACCTCAAGGCAGGAGGAGCAGTCATAGGTAAGTGACAATCAGTGGGCTTCTAATTGCTGTGGTTAGTTGAGATTGCAGCTAACATCTGACAATGTGTGTCTGTTACGATTTAGTGAGTGCATTTTGGGGGGGGAGGGTGTTGTAGGGTTTTTTTGGTTTTTTAGAAGTCAGATTTAGTGGTAAGAATTGGTGTCTTTGGCTTGTTGCAAAGTCATCAAGCGGAATGCATACTTAAATTTACCTCCTACCATGCTGTGATGGTGGTAAACTCTCATTTTTATTTTGCACATAGTTTAAAAGCTGGCTCTTGCTTCATGTGCTTGCTTTCCTTGCTCAGTATACCTTTTTTGTGCTGCTGTGAGTCATCTAATTCATGAAAGCAACTATCTACTAGACTGGCTGTCATTTTCAATTAAATAGGATCTTCTAAAAAGATTTCAATTTCCCAGTTTAGTGCTCCAGGTTATGAGAACTTGCCTTTTTGGTGGTCAAATTTATTCTTCTTGTGTTGCATTGAAGGCACCTGCTGCTTCAGCTTTGCTGGATTGTGTTTTTTCTCTGCCTGTATGTGGATTTCCAGGATATGTCAGGGGACATGTCTTACAGTCATCCAGGTCTTCATTTACCCGTTTTAATATTCGTATAGCAGTTGCATACGTCCACTCTTTTTGGGGTCCTTTGATTGAAGGCATGTGGAACACTAGTGTTTTAGAAGGCTCCTTCATGCCAGTTCTTGAAAGATCACTTGTGAAATACTTGATAAGTTTGTATTCATCTACAGGATGAAATGCTTAGCATTCTCCCTAATGGCTGAAGAGTTTTATCTAGAATTTTGTGAAAAATTTTCTGTAGAAGTAGAGGCAGTTGATGCAGGAGGAATACAGAGATGCTGTCCAGCCATGTGAAGATGGATTAGGGAAGCCAAGCCCATCTGGGGTTGAATCTGGTGAGGGATGTGAAGGGCAGCAAGCAAGGATTCTACAAGTAAACAGCAATAGGAAGGAGAAGGAAAATGCTGACCCTCTGTTAATTAGGGTGGGATCCTTGGTGACAAGGACACAAGAAAGCTGAGATGTTCACTGCTGCCTTTGCCTCCATCTTTACTGCCAAAGGAATACTGGCCTTCAGGAATCACAGAATCCCAGGCCCATGAGACCAGAAGGAAAGTCTGGAGTAATGAAGACATACCCTTGGTGGTGGACGATCAGGTTAGGAAACACTTAAAGATTGGACGTACCTAAGTCCGTGGGGCCTGATGGGATGCATGCACAAGTGCTGAGGGAGCTGGCTCATGCCATTCTAAGGACACTGTCGGTTATCTTTGAAAGGTCATGGGAAATGGGAGGTGTTCCTGAAGACTGAAAGAGAGCAAATGTCATTCCTATCTTGAAGAATGGCCAGAAGGAAGATCTGGAGAACCACAGGCTGGTCAGCCTCACCTCAGTCCCTGTGAAGTTCACAGACCAACTAATCCTGGAAACTATTTCCAAACACAAGACAGGCAAGACTGGAGTAATCAGTGTGGATTTATGAAGCAGAAATTGTTCTTGACAGACCTGATAGCCTTCTACAGTGAGGTGACTGGCTTGGTAGACAGGGGGACCAATGGATATTTTTTTACCTGGACCTCATAGATGAGCAGACAGAGTATGGGTTAAATAAGCAAACAGTGCAGTGGATTGAAAAGTCTAGTTGGAGGCACATCACTAGTGGTGTATGCAGGGTAAATACAGGGGCCAGAACTGTTTAACATCTTCATTAATGATCCGGACAATGGGACAGTGTGCACCCTCAGCAAGTTCACAGATGATACAAAACTGGGAGGAGTAGTGGTACACCAGATGGGCGTGCTGCCATTCACAGGGACCCAGACACGCTTGAGAATTAAGTAGAGAGGAGGCAAGGGGAAATGTGAAGTCCTGCAACTGGGCAGGAACAACCCTGTGTACCAGTACACACTCAAGACTAACCTTCTGGAAAGAGCTCTGCAGATCAGGACCTTGGGTCGTAGAGGACAGCAAGCTGACCATGAGCCAGTAATGCACCCTGACAACAAAGGCAGCCAACAGCATCTTGGGCTGTGTTGGGAAGAACATTAAATTAACTTTAATCAAGTACGCATGTATACTGGTTCAATCCAAATTTCGGTTAAGCAGAGCTGCTCAAAACATAAAATAATTTTCATAGTCATGTTTCTGAGGACTTTGTTTTTCAGTGTATGTCTGTCTGCTGGGAATAAAATGTTCTCCTAGAGTAGCTTGGTCCATAGCATTTCAGTGAATGTCTTGTCTTGTTTTTCTGATTGCATGTGATTCTTGCACTGCACTTGCTACGGCAGTTAATTAGTGCCCTGCCATTTCAGCTGTGAAAGAACTGAGCAAGAACAGCAGTCCTGCTGCCCCTTCATCTTTTTGATACAAATACTGTATTGCAGTCAGATGGTGCGGCCCAAGCAGGGGTTAGCCTGGTCCGTAGGACCTTCATTCCGCTGGTCTAGAACTTAGAACTTGGTTTTGTGTGCAGGTTTCAAATGTCCCTACAATCTTCCGTTGTTTGGAATGAAGATGTTTGTATCGGGAAACTCTTCCAAATAAAGTGTTAATAAGCTCC